TTACAACGCCTCCACGGCTGAAATGGCGAGTATGTTCGGTGATGTGATTCGATCGCACGACCTACAGATTGCGAGTCGAGCGCCCCCTAATCACCAGGCCATGCTAGGCCTCTTTGACACAAACATGTTCAGAGTATTTGTTTGCTGTTAATCAAATGGGCTATCTGTACACCACGTGTATCGAAATTCGAGTTTTAGCATCATGAGTCTTCAGACTTACCGCTGAGCTACCAGAGAACATAAATAGAGTAAAACCTGAGCATATTGACCACCAACTGAGAAGCAAGGTGTTATATTCAAATGCTTAAAAAGATTTGGGAACAAGGAATAAAATATTTAGGTCACATGCTGCAAAATTTATGGATTATGACAAAACTAAAATTCTACTACTGTTAACACGTGCGCGGGATTCTTATGATGTCACTCATTAATCACCTTGAGACTGTAACCGGAACACACTATAAATATTACCACCTATAACTTTTTGTATTGTAAGACAACTAAATGGTTGTTTGAGATTTGTTGTGGCAATCTGCATGTCTAATCATATTGCTCTCGCTAATCCCTGTGGCTCGTGAAGCCTTGACCCTCTTGTTGCAATTCAGTTGAAGATGTGGTGCTATGAAAGTGCAGATGGCGCCTCAAACTGAACACTTAAGGTAGGGTCACACTACGAGGTTATCAGACACGAAGTTCTTCAACTCCAGAATTATAAAAACATGCACGGTATGACACTGTAGCTTTTGAAGAAATGGATATTCGTAGTATTGAACAATATTAGTAAAGCAAGAAAAAATGTGATTCCAGTATGAAAAAAAAAGTTACTCCATGACTGACTAGCAGTGACGCACCGGAGGTAGTGAAGAAAGTTAAACAGTTTTATCACCAGAAACAACCAAAGAACACACCAGTCAGACACACCTTAAGTAGAAACCTTTCTTGAAACTGTAAACAAAGTAATTTACATGGTTCGGTTTGTTTGGTATTTCGCGCAAAGCTACACGAGGGCTATCTGAGCTAGCCATCCCTAATTTAGCAGTGTAAGACTAGAGGGAAGACAGCTAGTCATCGCCACCCTCCGCCAAATCTTGGGCTACTCTTTTACCAACGAATAGTGGGATTGATCGAAGTTTATAACGCCCCCACGGCTGAAAGGGCAAGCTTGTTTGGTGGAACAGGGATTTGAACCCGTGACTCGCAGAATGCGAGTCAAGTTCCCTAACCAACAGGCCATAATTTACACGAATTCATATTTTCTCAAAGCACACAGCTCAATGTATCACCAACTGCCAAAAGCTGTACGTATCTGGCACGTGACAAATGAAAGTATACTGTCATAATGAACGAAGCACGTGTCTACTTAAGTGTACAACAAAGCCTAAATAATTTAACACCGTCCTGTCGATGATAACACATTTCAGATGTGGTACAGTTGTAGTTTATGATGTTAGCTGGTCACAGCTAATGTAATGTTAAGTTAAACATGAGAGAGACTCCATATTGTCCTGTAAACGTGCTAAAACCATCACAATGCATAAAATACCTTCTTTTTTTTCTTCTTTTTCTGGTCGAATGCCAATAGGACATGACTCCACCAAGACAAAGCATTCAACTAACAAAATAAGCATTTTCCACACAAGGTGCAAATACAAACTAGAATTCATGTCATGCAATTCGCAGGCATCAGAGACTTCTGTGCCTTTCGAAGTCGTAGTTAACGCTCAGTTGATGATCTACTGGAAGCACGTAACGAGGAAGGGGGCAACAGCGACATGGGTGTAAAAGATGAAGTCTCCTGCAGCGGAAATCGTGCTGCACATTAATATTCCATTGTCAGGAACATCATCAGAAGTAGAAGAAGAGGACGTGAGGACTATACACTCATCCTTTTGTCGCTACTACACAGACAGTTAACGTTTTCTATATGCCAATCACTCCACGTGTGTAATAGCAGAGTTTCTATCCCACGTGTCTGGTAACAACATATTCACCATATTTCTAACCACTCTACAAAGTCTCACTTGGTGACAAAGCTATCAATGGGATATCTGCGCTCTGCCCACCACGGGTATCGAAACCCGGATTCTAGCGTTGTAAGTTCTCAGACACACCGCTGTGCCACTGGGGGGCAATTTACTTTGGTTTGTTTGTTTGTAATTAAGCACAAAGCTACATAATGAGCTATCTGTGCTCTACCCACCACGGGTATCGAAACCCGGTTTCTAGCGTTGTAAGTCCGCAGACACACCGCTGTGCCACTGGGAGGAGGGGGAGCAACTCGATAAATAAGGCGAATTGTGACACAGTAATATTTATTTATTATTATTAGGTACGTAACTACGCAATTGATTATCTGTGGGAGGGGCAACACAGCTGTATTAACTTGAAACAGAAAAATGAATTTTTGAGGTTTTTCTGTCCATTTACTCATGCACTAAAACGATGACTAAGATATACAGACTCAAATAATAGTCCAATATTTACTACAACGATATTCAACTCCATAACCAATGAAATATATACAACATCGTTCATTGTTGTGTATTAGAAAAGACTACATTACTCAATGTAGCTTAAAACTGTTCTTTAAAGATCCTAAAATTTGTTAAAAATCACTTAATTTGTGAACTGATTTCGACACGTGATCTTACCGGGCCTTAACCATCTACTTAACTGCGAAGGTTAAGTTTTTCTATATAAAAAAGGGAGAATGTAAAGGGTTATAAAGGATAATAAAAACTTCAGAACGTAATTACTTCAAAACTAATGCACCACAAAAAAAAAAAGATCTTTCAAATAAAACATTGCAACTTGATCTTATACAATGAAATGTTAAATTTCTATTCGTAAAACGATATTTAATCAACTCACTATGTAGCATAATGAATTAAAAGACTAACCTCAGATAAAATGGCACTTAGTGCTAACCAAGATTAAGTTCAAATGTACAATTAACTGGAATAGCTGAACAGTATGGTTTGGTGCACGTGCAAGTCCTGAGACAAAAAAGCAAAGGAGGAACGGGAGAACTACTGTTTCCCAATTTTTTCTGGTTTGGGGTTAATTTGTCAATTTTTCATGACTCTGGTAGTTTTTTTTTTCTTTCCTGGTTCGTAACGATATACACCATTCAAATGTGTCATTCCCTCTGATCCAACCCGAAATCTGTCACATTCAAATCACATTTTCTCAGACGTTTCTGCATATTCAGCTACGTTTGCCTTCATTACAACTTTACATTTACTTTACTTTGCAGTAATTTAGCTTCGGGTCGTTTTATAGACTGCTATAAACACCTTTTCAGCTACTTTTTTCTTTACTACACATTTTATCCTTAGTTTTTGTGAGTTTCTTTGTTTCAACATGTAAAACCGTGTACATATATTGAACGTTCATAACTTTTTCATACTTTGTACGTTATTATAAGTACCATTACTTTATTGTTTACATTACGTGTAGTTTTATTAATTACAATTACGTCTACGTGAGTTCGTTTGTCTGACGGCGTAAAATATTTTCAAATAGACCAGAATTTATCGATCTAACACATAATGCCTTGAAGAAAGTGTAGCTTAAATAGCGTGCGTGAAAATGATAGAATATGGAAAATTCAAACGAAAGGCACGAAAACTACTGCAAATGTTCCGTTCGCGGCCTTCGTGTTATAATATATCAACCACACTACATCAGTCATATCAAGTGCCGACGAGGCCTTTCGCCCAATACCAGGGCTTACCAGGCCGGCTGGGATACGACAGACATAGTAGTGGTCTTGGCGCTATTTATGTTACCGGTTTTCATGACTAACGACTGTTATGGTGAGAGGTAATTAAATAAGTGACCTGTAATTATTATCTATTTTATTAAAGTCATTTCAAGCCAGATTTTTAGGGTAAGGATTAGTAACACAACATTTTTAGGGTGAGAATTAGAAACACAACATTTTAAAAGGTAATAATTAGAAATACAACGTTTTTAGTATATGGATCAGTAACACAGCATTTTAAAAAGTAATAATTAGTGGCACGACATTTTAAAAAGTAATAATTAGTGGCACGACATTTTAAAAAGTAATAATTAGTGACACAACACTTTAAGGGTAAGAATTAGAAACACAACATATTTACGAGGATTAGTAACACGACTTTTAGGGTAAAAATTAGTAAAACAACATCTTTAGGATAAGGATTAGGAACAACATATTTAAGATAAGGATTAGTAACACAACATGTTTAGGATAAGGATTAGTAAATTAGTAAAACAACATTTTTAGGATAAGGATTAGGAACAACATATTTAAGATAAGGATTAGTAACACAACATGTTTAGGATAAGGATTAGTAAATTAGTAACACAACATATTTAGAATAAGAATTAGTAACAACATTTTTAGGATAAGGATTAGTAAAACAACATTTTTAGGATAAGGATTAGTAACACAACATATTTAAGATAAGGATTAGTAACACAACATTTTTAGTGTGACAAGAATTAGTAACACAACATATTTAAGATAAGGATTAGTAACACGACATCTTTAGAGTAAGAATTAGTAAAACAACATTTTTAGGGTAAGGATTAGTAACACGACATTTTTAGAGTAAGAATTAGTAAAACAACATATTTAGGATAAGGATTAGTAACACAACATATTTAAGATAAAGATTAGTAACACAACATATTTAAGATAAAGATTAGTAACACAACATATTTAAGATAAGGATTAGTAACACAACATATTTAAGATAAGGATTAGTAACACAACATATTTAAGATAAGGATTAGTAACACAACATTTTTAGAGTAAGAATTAGTAAAACAACATTTTTAGGGTAAGGATTAGTAACACGACATTTTTAGAGTAAGAATTAGTAAAACAACATTTTTAGGATAAGGATTAGTAACACGACATTTTTAAGATAAGAATTAGTAAAACAACATTTTTAGGGTAATGATTAGTAACACAACATTTTTTACAGCAGGAAGTATGATAGACTTACGTTTTCGTGTTTAAAGAAACACAACATTCTAATTTCTCTAAGAACTCGTTTGCTGGATACCAAATTCTGGAAGACGTTTGGCATTTTCTTGAGAGCTACTCGTTTCCCATCTCGAGGGTCAGTGACAGACCTGTAAGAAACGTGAATCAACATCTGATTACGAATAATTCACTGACGATTAATAATTGCGTAATCTTATATATATATATGAGATTATAACACAAATATTATATATATTTAGCAATTTAATTGGAATTAAACACACATAACTGAGGTAGAAAAATCACACGAGTTACGGATTTTATTAGCACAACTAATGCCGAACATTTGTTTACAAATCTTTAAACACACTCTCATTTTTTTTTATTACCCTAAATGTTAAATACAACTTATAAGAGTGTGTCACACTTTAATGCGAGTTGTTTGATTTCAAAGTCTAACAAGAACAAAATGATACAGGAAAAATGAGATCCTCTCTCCTGATCGGAATTTAGGTCTTTGTGACCTAGGAGGGTCAGGTACTCTGAGACCTCTTCCTCAAAATGAGATCCATAACATCGCCGCTTCTCGTTCAAACTACACTGTCGCTATATGACGTCATTTCCGGTATACAAGACGTAACGTCCTATTCAAAATATAATAATATCTCGTTGCATTTTCTGTCTACCCTCATTACACATAAGATACTTATGTTACTGTCTTGCACGCTTATACACACCAGAATAAAATTAAAAACTACACGTAATAAAACGGCGACACAGTCAGGATATACATGGATCTAATACTAATTAATATTCGAGCGAAATAACGAAGAAACTGCAACAGAACGCGAACGTTCAAATAAGCCTATTATTCCAGTATCATACATTGCCTCCCCCCCCAGTAACTCAGCGGTATGTCTGAAGGTTTATAACGCTAAAAATCGGGTTTCGATACCCGTGGTGGTTAGAGCACAGATAGCCCATTATGTACCTTTGTGCTTAACAAACAAACTATATATATCTGACAGTGCGTATTTTTATATTACTGCTTGGTGGTTGATAAATTCTAACAAACAAACTATATATCTGACAGTGCGTATTTTATATTACTGCTTGGTAGTTGATAAATTCAGATTTCTCAAGATTTCTTGTTCTCGTTTTGTTTTAACAACTCTATGATACGAAATCATCCACCATTCAAAGGATCATTGTGGTATCTCAACTAGGAGCCTTCGTTTGAAAAACAGTATTATATACATTACACGCTAATTTTAAACAATCCAGTAGCTTCCAGTATAACAATTAACACGATAACACCAAGGTCGCCCAGAGGTTCGAAGGGGGCCAGGACAAACTTAAAATATGGAGACCCCTCCACAAGGGCTCTACATTTATAAAATTCCTGCGAAAGGAATGCTATTTGTCAAGACAGTTTTAAAAAACATTTTATATTTTAGGGGGGGGGGGTCATATCTTATATGAGTAATATTATTTGGTTTTCATCGACATATTTTTTTTTTCTAGCCAACTTGTTTATTTATTTTTTGGGGGGAGGGAAGAGTTGTTAATTAAGGTACCGAGTAAAATGACCAAGGTGCTCTCCTCCTGGGGGATGAACACGGACAGTGCAATCAGTTTGAACATATATGCACTGTTGTTATGACGTGAACGCCTTTTCCAAGATGGCGAAGCATAATTATAACTAATCATACTTAAGTATATGCACTGTTGTTATAATGTGAACGGTTCCTCGCATAATTTATGTGGTTTATAGGTAACTTGTTCAAGGATGATACTTCACAATTATGGCCAACTACCAAAATCAAATACATTATGAAATACACTACGGTTTGAGACTAGTCTTACGTCAAGATGATAATATAATAAAACCTACTGCTTTCCAGAGTAAAGCTACAGCTAGCTACCTACGTAATTTCACACTTGATCACGTATTTTTCTCACAGAAAAAAAAAAATCACTTTTTTTTTGTTGTTGTTGTTATACAAAAACAATTTCCCAAGAAATGTGCATGAAGGTTCGAGAAGAACAAGAAAAATCCATTTCGGTTGAACACTGGGCGTGAAAATTCCTCACGTATTCCATAACGGACGGTAAAGTATTTCTAAACATTCCGAAATGATTCCATATTGACCGTGTGTGTGTGTTTCATCCGGGTAACTACGGGGGGTTTTTTAAACCAACGATACTCTTTGAAATAAATTGCTCGGGTGTCCGGTGGTGGTAACATAAATGGACTGGACATGGTTAATAGTAGATAACTTGTTCCACCTTTTTGTGAAAATTAGGCACGTTAGGATCGTCGGGGCGGGGGGAGGGGGAGTCGTAAGTGAATAAAAAAGTACCTGACAATCAATATCAGCGCATTAAAATATCGTCCAACAATTTTATATAATAAAAAGTACTGTATTGTACATACACAAAACACACAAATCAAATTGTTTGGTATGTCCTAATAAAAAATATAGTGTTTAAGGGGGGGGTCTATCATGTGTTAGACTACCTTTATACTACCCAGTACTGATCAAGTGTATTGAATGAATAAGGTACGGGGGGTTAAAAGAGCAACAGTGACGCTGGTATAAAGACTGGGTTGTTTGAGGAGTGTTTGTTTGTTTTAATTATGCACAAAGCTACACAAGGGCTATCTGTGCTCTGCCCACCACGGGTATCGAAACCCGGTTTCTAGCGTTGTAAGTCTGCAGACATGCCGCTGTGCCACTGGGGGGGCGTTTGTTTGAGGAGTGTACGACGATGCCTGTTAGTTCCACTCAGTCAGTTGTAATTTATATAAGCATCGTACCTTACAAATTGGGCATCTAAATAAGACGGATTTATGATACATTATTGGCAACTCAAAAAAATAGACCAGAATACGCAACTAAGACAAGTCACGTTTGATTACCAAGTCTACAACACCCTCTGTAACATTTCCCGCTGACTGCTAACCGACTTTTGGAGAAGGTTAAGAAACCACGATTGAGCGACGCCACCCCCCTCTGACGATATAACTCGATGTTCTTATTTATCCAATAATAAACCATTTATAACACAACTTACGATCATCAAGGCCATCTCGTTAATTAACTAAGTTTTCGAACTAGTAAAACCTGATTTAATAACACGGTTGGCCTATTAATGCATAACAGTACGCTGTTTTTTTTTAAAAATACACAGTCATTCCTTTTTCACTTCTTGTAAGGACACCGAGAAAACCTGACCCCTTGTGGTGGTTTAATTATAATGGAGGCCACAAGTTTAGCAAATTGTTTTCAATTTATTTTTATTCAGAAACTAATAATAATTTATATATATATTTTTTTTTCTGTATTTTTTATCATACACACACACATATATTTGTTGCTTAAGCGTATGTAGTCTGTAGTTAGTTTTGGCTTACGTACTCTGTACAAAACATAAGAATATCGGACATTTGCAATAATACTGTTATAACAAGGACGAAAAACCTTTTATCGTAACGTGCATTAACTTCAACTCATATATATGTATTTTATAATCCCTGTATCTGGTCTGACGTCCTGGTCACACTTGGATAACTACAGTTAAAGAACACAATATTTTTAACGATTCTTGTTAAAACCTTTTTTTTTTTTCACTTTTGACTCCAAAACCTTACACAGATAATTATTTTACAACATACTGCACAAATTAAACTATCTAAACTCACACGCGATAAAGATAAAAAGAATATTAATATATATACATGTTCTGTTATGACAAGTGTACAATCATCCTGGTCAATAATAACACAATCTACCAAATTTTGAATTTCAAGGTGGTCTTTTCAAAATATGGAGTCTTTTTTTTAATATACGACTAAAGTTATTTAATAAAATTTAAACTATTTGTTATTTATTACGTTATATTTTACAACAATATTTTATAATTGTTCAATGTTGTCTGCCATATATTACGAGTTTTAAGATTTAGATCCTAAATCCACTCCTCTAGACAAATATATTACTTATTCTTCTGTACAACTACAGATGTTGATTTTATGATTACTTCCTAAACTATCTAGTTGTTGTATTTGTAGTTTAGGTAAGGCAGTCAGTCAACATCACACTACCATCCAGGCTAAGAGATTAACTGTCAACCTTATATATATAATGCACCCACAACTTCAAGTGATATCGCATGGATTCGAACCTAAGTCCTATCCAGTTATTAAACAAGTCTACTGGGCAATATGGGCATTACATTAATGAGGATGTAAACGTCGTATTTTTAAATAACTGAAGCCAGAATTTCAAACTCTTTTTTTTTTAATATACAGTACAAGGCGAGTCTTAGCTTTCTATACAGAAGCGTCGGAACTAGCCCCACTTTTACTTGCTTGCCTTGCTTGATTATATAGCAACTGTAAATTATATTTATCATTGTAAAATCTGCATGTCTAGCCAAGCACCCCCCCACTTTGAAACTCCTTCCTACACCACTACTATAATACGATTAGATTAAAACAAAAACTGTAACAGAAATATAAGCCCACTGACCATGATCCATCAAAATTAATCGTTAATATTTAATGTGTAGAAATAACAAATAAATAAGCATGTGATACACTATACTGTATATAGTTTTCAGTTGTTTGTGATTAAGCACAAAGCTATCTGTATATATATATTTTTTAGCGTCATAAGCCCAAGATTTACCGCTGATCCACCGGGGGGGGGTCTGTGATGCGTACTAACTGGAGTTTTAAGTCAAATAAAATTGGAAAAATAAGTTCTGGGAGATAAATCGTATGTAACTTATTGCGCAGATATTTCTATACACTAAAATATTTTAAAACACTGGTGAACAACGGGTAAGTAACTATGGAAAGGAAAATGCTAAGCCTTTTTTATTGCATTTTCTGAAATGAAAAACGTTTGAAATTTTAGTCATTTTTTAAAATATAATACATGATTTACTATGTCATACACCTAGATCGAGGAACAGGTTCACACATCTCACTCAAATCTATAGTTTGACGTGACACAGTATCTTAAAATCAGGTCACCTACATGTAGAGGGTGTATAACGTATGTGGTGCCCTCATTGCCAAAAGCATCTAACCTTACATTTTTTATTCAAAAATAAACTGTATACCTATGGAGAAAATAGT